GTTAAGCTCTTGGGGCAGAGTGCTGGAAAGAAGGGATCAGTGCAGGGTAGCAGGAGTTAGATGTGTGGATCTAAATCCCTTACATTGCTCTAAAAACACACTCCTTGGAGAGCCCTCTCAGTGACCTGTACTAACAGCATCGGTTCCTCAGTCCTCCAGATGACAGGACAGGGATGAGAGCGGAACTGTGAGCTGTGCCGCTTGAGATCCCTGCCTTGCAGCGAAGGCTTTGCATCTGGTTATAGTTGACCAGGTGAGCAGACAGTGGTTACACGGGTACACACAGGTTTGTACAGCAGGCACTTATTCTGACTGCTGTGCTCAGCCTTTGGCATATGTGGGCAGTCTTTCTATGCCTCTGGGTGCTTGTAAGCAGCTACATCTGTACTAGGAAGCTGAAGCCAGCTGCTGTGATATGGTTTGCATCCATACAGTAAGCTCTGCCCACCATCCCAAAAAGGTGCTGGCATCCAAGCTGCCAGCCAGGAGCAGTGGGGCTGTCCTGTTCCCCAGGTGATGCTGGAATATTGTTTTGGAGCATGCTAGTTGGCACAGCGCTAGGAAATAGTACAAACACTTCAAAACTACAACAACTGGGAATTTATGTTTGAACCTGTGCTGACTGTTAATTTCCCAGTGTAGATGTAGCCTTTCTCTCTCACTGTCCAGCGGACACCCCACCCACTGCTGCCTGCCTGGATGAGGAGGGTGTGCTAGGACTTCAGACATCTTCCCTGCACCCAGCAAGAAGCCCTGTGCTGCTGGGGGGTTATCAATCTCTCTCAGTACTGCCCTGCCTTTTGCTGCCTTTGTGGCATAGAAATTAAGCCTCTCTGAAACAAAGAATTTGCTTTTCAGAAATCCCCTCGCAAAAACCTGTGACAGACACCAGATGCTGGGGGAGCAGGCTGGCTTGGATCAGGAAGCAGAGGTTCATGAACAAGTTGTGAGCTAGCACGACTCCAGGGTCCCAAGGAGAAGGTTTAAAATGGGAGGGAAGCGGATGGGAGAATGCACCTCTACAGGACATAAAAATAGTAGGAAACTCCCGGTGCTCGCCACCGCATACAAAAGCCATTTGCCATGGCCGTCTGACACTGCTGGGTTAGCCATGCAAAGCTCTGGGCAGACTATTTCTCCTGCAGGCAGGGCCAGAAGACAGAAAAAACCCACTGCTCTTGAGTGTTCATTGCAGAGACCTGGAGGCACTACAGTGGTAAGGGAGTTAAGTTGTATGGTAGAGAGGGACGAGCTGCCCTTCTTTCTGCCCATCCTCACCTTTTCTCTGGAAAGGAACTTGCAGACCATGCTCTGCTGTTTGCTTCTACCAGACTGGATGTGGTTAAGGCTGTTTGTTGTCTTCTAGGGAATGATTTATGCATTCAGATCCATTTCTGGGTAGGCTCAGGAGTGTCAGTGTGGTAGATGAAGACATTGTGACCTTAGTCACTGTGCTACCTGATTGTCCTTGACCTTGTTCTTGCCAGATTTGGATAGTCATCCTCTGCAATTTCTGTTCCCTTTGGACTTTCCTGTTACAGCTTTCTCCCACATCTCCCTGTTGGCAGAGCCCCAGCATATCCAGGTGTGGAAAGCCAAGGTCTTCAGCCTCTTACTGCCCTCAACTGCAGCCACTTCAGTTGTCTCATGGCTCTGCCCTCTTAATACAGCATCTCAGCCAGGGCTGAGAGGCTTGCTTTGGGACCCTTGCAGACATCTATGTATCTGAGATCAGAGAAGCAAACTAGTGAGGCTGGTTTGAACCCCTCAAAGAGTTAATCAGGTTATGGAGTTGAGAAGAGAGCAGGCTTCAGCGTGCCCAAGAGCCAGCAGCTCTATGCCCAGCCTCTGTCACTTGCTGGTGTATCACAGGATGCCTGAGCTGTACATGGCTTTGCTGCCTTCTCCCCTGCTCCCATTCTGGTTACTTTCTGTTTTCTTTTATGTTCTTGTTTTTTTTTTTTCCTGCTCTGCCTCTCCTGTTCTTTCCACTCTGGTTCTCCAAGGGGAGATCTGCCCCAGCACGGCCAAGCACGCACAAGATCATCACCAAGGCACAGGTGGGTTTCTCTCCTGTGGTTAATTTTCTTCCACTACACCTCGATTCTTTGGTCTCCCAGTAGGTATTGCTTTCAAGTTAAACATGCTGCAAAGTTTCTAATATCACAGATTCAGCAGAAGTCAGGGAGTTCGATTTTGTAAGCCCCCGTGAAGTGGGGAAGGAGATTTGCAATAAATTGAATGGAGCAGCCACTGTCTAGCAAAGTGGGGAGCTGCTCGTGAAAGCCATGTGGGCCATTAGCTCCCAGGGGCAGCTGAGCTCTGGCTTCTCATTATTTTGGAAGGCCAGCAGCACAGCAGCCTGAGCTGAAACAAAACCTCTTCCAGAATCTGCTGCTGCTCCCTGGAGCAAGTCTAAATCTGGATCCATACCAGTCCAGACAAAGCCTTCCCCCTAGCCCCAGGTGTGTGATTGCACAGAGTGCAGGAGAGGAAGGGACTTCACGTCAGCCAGCAGCACCATCCTTTACTTCTGAGCTGGCAAAGATGCTATCTGAGAACTGAACTACTTAGGAAATCTGTTTGCTTTCCTGCAGGAGGACTCGGGGGATAGTGAGATTGACCTGGATGAGGATGAAGATGAGGAGGATGATATGGAAGATGACAGCATGGAAATCTCCCCGAGCAAATCCAGTCACCGAGCAAGGAAGCCAGAGCCACTAGAGGAAAGTGATAATGACTTTTGACCCTTTAGTAGCAGGACCAGGAGGCATCTTGAAATATAAACTTTGGAGAGCATGCAGACCAGGAGCTAATATCCTGCCATCTGAAAAGGGCTTGTCAGCATGAATTCAGGAGTTGGTAAATAATGTTCATTAAACTTGGAAATTAAACTTGGATTGCCAGTCTTGTGACTCTCAAAGCATGAGCAGTTTATCCGTAATGAGAATCACAGTAATGTGGAGTGTGGTTATTTCCATAATTGCATTAGAACTGGCCCTCATGCACTGCAGTGCCAAAAGTCACACTCCAGTGAGCATCATATGCTTGATTTCCCTGCATTTTATTATGTCCAAACAGGTTTTTTTGGCCTAATAAAACTGGATGAAAAGCTGTTCTGGGAATACATTTAAATTGACTTTAAATCTGGCTTAAATCTATTTATCCTAAACATATCCTTTACTTAATCAAGGGCTTGTCTCCACAAAGAGCAGCACCAGCTAGACTAAAGGAGGGAAGTTAAAATTGGGAAACTAGTGAAGGGGTCCTCAAATACCACCTTCAGTGCAACATCTCTTAGTATTTTAGCGGTGTCAGTGGGAATTGTTCTCAAACTTCAGTGGGCTGTCCTTGAGTGTTCTGAGAGCAGCTGTGTGAGACTATGCTGTAACTAAATCCGTATGAAATTAGCTCTTTAATTTTACTGGTACTTCCAGGGCGGACTCAGATTCAGGCACTCGGATGGGCCAAAAGTTGGGCTTTTGTTCAGTAAGTTATAGTGATGCCATCAGTGAAAGTGTGTTCAGGGGAACGCAAAAGCTGGAGTTTGTTTACTGTGTTGCCTCTTTTCTTTTAGCTCTGCTTCAGTGTCACAGTTTGTCTTCACAGGAGCAGAAAGCAGTGCTTGATTAGAAGAGTGCATTTTGGTGTGTGTTCATCAGGGCAGACGAGAGTCCCAGCTGTTCTCCTGCCCTTCCCTTGTTTTACATCAGCAAAGCACTTTGCTTTCCCCCCCATCTGAAGTCTAGAGTCAGGTCCAACCCCTCCATTATTGTGCTGAAGGAAGGAATACACGTGAGTTACTTGAAAAACCAAGAGGTTTTTCATCTCTCTGTGTCTCTGACCCCAAGGGTTGAACCATCACACCCATCAGCAGAGCTCAGAGCTTGAAATGTCCCGTCAAGCTGCGACAAAAGTTTACAGGTAAATACAGCACAGTTTTTGTGTGGTAATGGGACATGTGTGGGTGCAGTGGTATGCTGAAATGCGCACAATCGTACAGGCTTGAGCTGAACTGGCTGACAGGACACTTCCTTGCACACGATAAAGTTAAGTGGTATTTTGCACCTCATTTAAAGAAAGCAGACACAGAAGATGGCGTTCGTAGTGCGGGACACCTACTGCAGAGCCATTAGGGTGGTCCTGTGACAGCCAGTGAGAAACTGCTTGTGCTCACCACATCCCTCTCCCAAGGGATGAGAATGTCCTGATTTTAGGACCTGTTCCAAAAACGTTTTTCCGTGTTACACAGGGAATCTGTTCTGGTCCTCCCTGTGTGCTGAGATATATCTGACCCATGAGAGAGATCGCCCACGAGCCTGGGCCCAGTCTCCAAGTCTGGCTTGCAGTTTCAGAGTTACAATTTTCTATGTTATTTTCTATATGGTAGGCTGAAATAGAAAGCTGATTTAATACTTTGGGTGCACAGAACCAGAGCCTCTTCAGGCAGCACTGCCACCTAGCCTTATAGCGCAGCTGGCCAGGTTTTAGGGTAGCCATGGTTTGCATTGCAGCTTCTTGTACCAGGCTTGAAGAGCAGCGCTGTTAGCAGCCACCCCAACCCCGGTACCAGTGAAAATGCACCCTCTGAGCACTTGAGCTTTCAGCTCAGAAGTGTTTGTGTGTAGCTAGGTATGTACATATGCGGACAGATCGATTAAATATATTTCAAATTGTTGTTAACCCCCTGTTTTCTGGAGCTCCAGGGCATGGAAGCTGGCTCGGGGTTTTTGATTGCTCTCTCCATTGGTATTTCAGGGAATGTTTCAGCTCAGAATTAGGTACAGGCTTTGGGCAGAGCTGGACTCGAGCCTCAGTCTGTCCTGAAATAATGATGAAAGAGGTAGGACTTAAATCTCTTGACATCACTGTATTCTGTTGGAGAGCATGTGCCAGCCCCTAACACCTCATGGAAAAACCATGAGCCCTCTTAGTGGTGGACTTGGCTGTGCTAGGTTTACGGTTGGACTCGATGGTCTTAAAGGTCCTTTCCAACCTAAACATTTCTATGATTCTCTTGTTTCACCTGTACAGGGGCTGGGGTCTGCAGCCAGGCCAGCGGGGAGCACAGTGCACCCTGAAAGTAATGTAATGCAAGAGAGGAAAGCAGCACAAGGCATCTTCTCAGATAGGAACCACTGTATTTCCAAGTATGTACATATCGCACAGCTCAGCCCAGTGTTTCTCCGGGATCAGCCCACAGACGTCCCTGAAGCGGTCGCTTACTGCCCTGGGTGCAGCAGCACTGTGTCTTGGCGTGGGCTCTGGCTGGGGTGGAGTGGGGAGAGGGGGCAGTGACTGGAGGGGGCTCTGGGGGTGTTGCATAGTTTGGCTACTGGTCCATTTGCAAACCTGCTACCTTCTGGAGAGTCGCTGGGTCTCTGCCATGCACACGAAGGCATCACCTGGCACCTCTGCTTTCAGCAGCCACCTGCCCAAAAGGTGACCTGGTAGGGACAGACCCTGCCTGCAGCTGGGACATCGGGAAGACACATCCCAAGGTCACACAGCTTGTCATCAGTGACAACAGCAGGAGACCCAAGAAGTCCAGCCTGAACTCGAGGCAGAACTTCCTGATAAGGTAGTCCCAGTGTAGCACCAAGGCGTGTGTGCGGGGGACAGCCCATCCTCATGCAGTGCTGTTCCTCTTATATCCACTCTCCCACTCCTCCTCTCATTATCCTGAGGGCTCTTTATTTCCCAAAGTCTTTCTAGATGGTTCCACTCCTATGCCTTGGGATGCCTGTCTCTGATAGAGAACAGCATTACCAAATGCTTCAGGCATGCTTGGCCAGCACCAACCTGTTACTGAGAGCATGGAAAACAGCACAGGTTGCACTCGCTGCCTAAGACCCTGCTCTCTGAAGTGCCCAGGTCCAAAGCAGCGCTCTCATCTGAGCAAGGAAACAGGCAAACCTCTCGTGTCTCTCTGGGATTTCCAGGGGAGCCTGCAGGACTGGGCTGTATTTAGCCAGGTGAGAAGGGGCTGCTGTGAATCTTGCCCGTGTTTCACTCCTGGGATCCCTGCCAGAACTAGACGGAGAAGAGCTGGCGCTGGAGAACCCTAGAGCCCCAGCTGGGGTGCTGCAATGTTTGCCCGCAGTGACTCAGGCTGGGACAAGAGCAGAGCTCCAGAGCAGTCAGGATGCACCTGGTCTGGGGCAGGGTCTGAGCACAGCGCTGTAAGCTCATGGAGATCACAGGAGGGGTCGCTGCCACTGGCAGCGGCAAGTAAGTCACCCAGGAAAACAAAAAGGGCTGGCATGTAAGATCTGCCCATTCCTCCCTCCTTTTAGCATTTCACCCATTCCTTGGAGCTCCCCCAGGGCCTGGATGAACAGGGACATGGGCGTACGTCCCTCAGCTTTCAGCACTAGTGAGTCTTGACCCTCCTGCGCTGCCGATCCAGACGTCCTAGGTCCTCCTGGGCCATGCTAGGGAGCTCTCAGGAGCTCTCCTTGCCCCAGCTCTCCACCCTGAGATGGGCGGGTGGAGGGCCAAACAGCTCCCTGCGAAGGCATGCTGGCCAAAGGGACCAACTGGGCCACCTCCTCGCTGCAGCCAGGCACCCTCACACGTCCACCACGCAGTTGGGTGAGTTTGTCCGGATAGCGTCAGAGATCATCTTGGCTCCTGACTGGCCGATGCGATTCCCTTGCAGGCTGGGAGCAAAGAGAAGAGGAGTTCAGGCTTGGACATGAGGCAGAGCAGGATCCTTGGTGGGTACGAGAGATAGTTCCCAGCTTTGCACCAGCATCCAGCATCATCTGCACCCTCCCCACACCATCAAGGAGCTCTTGCTGGGACCCAGGTCACAGGGGACTCTGGGTTTGAGAGCCCAAAGGCAGCCAGGTGAGAAGCTGGAGAAAGCCCCTGGGGAGCTGGAGGGGCTGAGCCAGCCCATCCCTGTGATCTTTTGGAGAGTATTTGCCTTGGGGTGGTTCTTCACCCCAGAGGCATCCCCAGAGAGGAGCTGCAGGGTCTGGAGCTGTGTGGGAGGTCCCTGTAGGGCAGGTGGGAATGAGCAGTGCCAGCGGTGGGGAAGGTCCCTTGATGATTCCTGTGGTCTCCCCCATCCCTGCCTTACCATCCAGCCCAGCGGCCACTTACTTCACATAGGTGAGGCCGTGGTTGCCCTTCAGAGCGGTGGCGATGCAGATGGCTCCATCCATGCCCAGGGCGTTTTCCTGCAAGCTGCGGGAGGCGGGAGGGTCAGAAAGCACCGGCCAGGGACACGTGGCCACCAGGAGGGAATGCATGCCGTGGGCATGGGCATTGGGAAAAGCCACCAGCTCAGGGGTTTGCCCCGCTGAGAGCTGCTGGCCTGGCCATTCCCTCGTGGCCCCCTCCAGGAAGGTCTGGAAGGGCTCATTCTGGGTCACCCCAGGAAGCAGGATACTTACTTGAGCCGGCGGAGGCTGCGGTTCATCTTCAGTCCATTGGCCATTGCCTTGGCCCCTGCCACGCCGATGGAGTTTCCCCGTAAGCTGCGAAGAAAGGCAGGTGGTGAGGAAGGACAGCCCGGGACGGCCCCGCACCCTCATGGGTGAGAGGAGAAGATGGGAGAGGTGGCCCACACCAGCAAGTCAAGGGACAGGCAAGCCAAGTCTGGTAGGACATGATGCAAGGGTGGAAGCGGTGCTGAGCTAAGGACAAGAGTCTCAGACACCCCCAGGGAGCGGTGTCACATCGGTGGGGACTTGGTGGCCCCACTGAGCACTTACTCCAGGATCTGCAGGCTCTTGTTGACCTTCAGGGCTTCTGCCAGGGCTTGGGCACCAGCCTCACCAACTGAAGCCGCCTGCAGGCTGCAAGAGAACAAGGATCCCTTAGCACACATTGTGAGGTGGCCACGGTGTGCTAATTAGACAAGCTAATTAGGCTGTGACGCCAGGGCCCCACTGCAGCCTGGATACTCACTGGAGATCTGCCAGGGTTGTGTTGACCTTCAGCGCGGCAGAGAGGGCGGCCATTCCCTCGTCTCCGATGGCATTCTCCTGCAAGCTAAGACACGCAAAGTGCTGTGTCTGCCCACGGCCGGGGCCCCCAGGAGCAGGGAGAGGAGCAACGAGCACAGGGCACAGCGTGCCAGGCTTTCCCAAACGGCTTGGGGGGG